TTGAATACAGAATTTGCAATTATACAATTAGTGTTATTATTGATATCAACTTTTAAGAAGAATGTGTTATAATCACCTTCTCTATCAAAGGATCAATAATTGATATTAACATCTATAAGCAAACACACTACTTTCAATTTTATAGAAATAACTATCATTGAACCCAATTTCCTATCCAAAATGTTTTCGCATTAACTGTTCACAAAATCCAAGCCTAATCTTACCAAATGTATGTCTGGCTCTAGATATAAATATATTCACCTTATCCAAGCCTACGTCACACTTAGCAGGTGTACAAATTAGCATAACGTCTCTATATTTCACCTTGATCCCTTCTGCATTCATAGCTGACCAAGACGTCATTTTAAAATATCAAAGACTTAACCACATTGCAAATTTCAATTCTCACTGATTTTTGTAATCATACGATAATTCTTACGTTACATTACACAATAGATGTTATTTTTTTCTAAAAAATTAAAAATAACCATACATTATCAAACAAATCATTTTTATTTTTTCGACTGTCCCCGTGGATACTGGATGAAAATTTACTGGCTAGTTATTTACTACAAAATTAGAGATATAATTAGGATCATAACAGAGAATAAATGCATTCGTTCATCTAAAACATAGCCGAAGAATAGGAAAATTTTGATCTTTATGCCAACTAAAGTTAGATCTAACAATGTACAATAACAGGTCATAAAAAATTTCATCCTACGTGATTTTGGCAGGCATTACGGCATTAAAAAAGTTAAACCCATTGATGTGTAAAATGTTGAAAACACGTGAAAGGAAAAATTTTATGAAACGTCAAGTGATCAAATAAACGGTGTTCAGTTAAAAAATATTGAAAAATACACAATCACTTTCATTTGCCTGCGCTCGTCTCCTTTTGCTAAGGGGGGCGTAGTTTGTAATTTAATTAATAAAACTTCTTAGCTCACAAAGTAACTATGCTGAAATGTTTTGATTTCGCGTGTTTTTTTTTTTTCTTTTTTTTAAATTCTAACGCTTATTTTGTTTTCACGATAATGTAATTAAGGTAAGGTGGATCAGTGACTTTAGTATAATTTATCAATAAAAAATTCCCTTCCGATAGGGTTCTTTTGTTGATATGGCGTCCAAATTGAATACAGATTGTTTGGAGGAAATTTTTGGATTTTTAGAGTTGGATGGGGTGGGTCATGAAACAACATTACGATCATGTATTCTACATCCATGTATCTTGGTTAATCGACAATGGTGTTTTAGTGCGGTTAGAATATTATGGAGTAACCCGTGGCATTTTAGAAAGGACCTTGAATGTGTCAAACCCAGCATCATCAACACATACATTTCAACATTTTCTAAAGAATCCAAAGAACGATTAATAGAGAACAAGATCATTCTACAAAGTGAAGCGGAAACGCAACCGACATTTAATTATGCCTGGTTCTTGAGAAATTTACATTTGTTTCATTTAGAAATGACATTAAAATCATGGTTTCAATCTTTTCAACAACAACGACGGAGTGGTGATATAACGATGTCAAGGGGAATTTGTTCAATAAATTATAAACTTGTCTTTGAAGAATTATTAAATAATTTCTTTACCACATCACCCTGTATCTTAAAGTTAAGTATTTCTGCTTATGATAATATAACCTGTTTAACAAATTCTATTGAACAAACTCCAAAATCGATCGATTGCTTAGCCAATTTACGATATTTTCGGAGTAGTGGTGATCTTCCTTCGATGCCAAAATTATTTTCCCTCCTTTCCAACATAAGTCCAAATCTTTTAAAATTACAAATCGATCGTTACATAATCACCGAAGAATTAGCGGATTTAATTAACGCTCAAAAAGATTTAAAGGAAATCTTTTTTCACAAACATCCAAGTTTAAGGCATCGTCCGTTATCCTTATCGAATAACAAGATAGGCACATCGTTAATTAATAAATCTCGTTCAATTAAATTATTAGAAATTAAAGGAGTTTATTTTCAAGCGCAAATGTTTTCAAATTTTGAAAATCTAAGAGAATTATATATTAAAATCTGTGGTGGAATGAAATATACTCGGGAGGAATTATTACCCTTGGCCTTCGTTTCTTTAAATCATTTACAAAAATTATTTTGGCATTCAACTCATTACATTTACCTAGATTTATTTCCAAACTTTTTTAGAAATAGTGGAAAACGTTTGAAAGTCATTACCATTAAAGGGTTTATGATTTCAGATCCAAAGGGTGCTGGATTATTAATCAATAGTGTAGCGAAGTATTGTGTTAACTTGAGATCTTTCTCTGGACCGATTTTAATAGAAAATGTTGCGGAGTTAACAAGGTTGTTGGAAAATTGTAATGAATTACAGAGTTTATCATTGCATCCTTCAAGGAAAAAATGTTATGGACCACAAATGAAAGGATATTTCGATGATTTGATGAACGTTTTGATTGATCAGCAAGGCGGTCATTTATCGGAATTGATATTAGCACACAGTTGGACCTTTAATATCGGATGTTTTGAAAGGTTAATGAAGAAATTTGAAAAATTACAAAAGAAGAAATTTAATTTTGTTTGTGATGTGAATATTCTGGGAGATCCTAAACTTGAAAACATTGTAAATAGATTCGTGGAGTTGGGAGTTTTAAAAGAAATCGATACCGGTTTTGTTGAATTTGGTTATTAGGGTTAGAAATATTATTATGAGAAATGTTTACTTGTGACCATTCGGGTGATCGATAATCATTTAAAATCATATATATGTATATGTATATGTATATATAATGTTAATTTATTCTTTTTCATTGTATCAAAGTTTACAAAAAAAAAAAAAAAAAAAAAAATGTTTATAAAGTCTAATCAAAATAAGATCCACCCATATTAAAATCAAGGATTTTTTTCCTTTGATACTTTGTACAAACTTGATGGAAATCATGCGAGTTCATAATACCGGGGTTGTAATGAAATTTGATAGGTTTCTCAATCATCTCTCTACTTTTCAAAAAATCTTCAAAAGGTTTCAAAGACATTTTCCACGAATCCATCAGTCTCAGTTCCATCAAGGATGTTGGGGAGATTTTTGTTATCACGTCTAATAAATCATCAATATTTGAAGTCTTAATTAATAATTTTGTAGGATAAAGTCGTAAAGATTTCAATTGTTTGCAAGTTTCTAACAATTTGGAAAATTCCTTCACACTATCTCTCGCTATAGGGCCATCATAAGATTGTAAATTGAAACATGTAATCGTAATTGAATCTAAAAGTAATCTCGAATTTCCATCATTTCTTGCTCTGAGCGTAATATGACGAAGGTTTTGCCCGTTCAAGAGAACAAATCTCGCAAAAATATCTAGATAGATTTTGTGACTACATATCCAAGAAAATATTTCTAATTTTTTGAAGGAAGTCATAAATAAAGGTTCGTATTCATCTCTTGTGAACTCTATACCCTCAAATTTCACCATCAATTTCTTTAAATTTTCAAATTTTGGTAATAATTGCATGGAAAAACAGTAGGCTTCATACTCTAATTGAGTTACCGAAGAAGAATTTTTTACGTGTAGAGAACACACTTGATTTTCGTCGGAATTCGGCTTCCTTTCATGATATTGTTTAATGTTAATTATTTGAAGTTTCCTTTGAGAATTGATTAACATTGATAAATCTTTTGTAATTTTCGCATTTTCAATGTATAATCTTTTGATGTTATGAAGGATGGTTGATAATATCGGATATAATCTTTCCCCACCTGATCCTGATTTGGCACATTTAAAATCTGATACCGTTGAAAGGCATGTTTTTGCTTCAGGAATCGTTTCCATTGCATGTATCAGGATCTCACTAGCCTGATAAGTTGAATTCACGTGTAAAACGTATATGCAACGTGATTTCGTAAATATCTCTTTGACAAATTCTCGCAATAATAATGGTAGATGATCTGCCGATATTCTTTCTCTCTTAAGCAACAATTGAATTGATTTTTCCAAACAAGAGATTTTTAGAATTCTTAAGAATGATATATAATTGAAGGTTGGTGAATCATGTACATTAAATATTTTTAAATCATTTTTTAATAATAATTCCTTGGATTTTCGTGGAAATTTTGAAAGGTAAATCTTAAGAATTGCGCATAGTACGTATGATTCAATTTGCCATGGATTTTTCCATAGTTCTGGTATAGCGCATTGACACCAAAGTTTATTAACTACAGCACAAGAATATAATGATCTGTAATCTCCTTCTAAATTTTCAAAGATTCTTACTAAACAATCGAAATTCAAGTTGGACATGATGAGGTGAGAGGAGAGGGAGGAAAAAAAAATTTTCAATTTTACGGAAAATTATGAGAAAAAAATAGGAGGAACAAGAAAATGAACCCAAATATCGATAAATTTATTACGTTTTTACCGTTATATTATTGTCGCACCTCCGCAGTAAATAAATTTGGAAATTAGATATAATGCCAACCCTAAAAAAAAAGAGACATTAAAAATCGAGTTGCAACCGCTGACAAATAAGTTTCACAGGGTGCAACTAGTTGTAACGTCATCTTTAGTGAAAAATATTTATTTATTTTATTTATACGGAACTACTTTAGGTATTAATTATGCCGAAACGAATTGTTTATTTCCACCTATTTCAAAAGAATTGAAAATTGGGATCATGTGATCTAGATATATTGAATTTCGGCGGAACCGTTACACCGATACGATCGATGCCAAAAAAAAAAAAATAATAATAATAATGGGGAAAAAAAAAGAGATCACGATTTTCTCAGTTCGATCTCTTTTTTATTTTATTTTTTTTTCAACAAATAAAAGGAAATGTTTAAGCAAATGTTTAATCGTCCTAATCGATTCATTTTAACATCAAATTTCAAACGTTCAAATGATATTTCAAAAAAAAATTTTTTAATGAATTCTTCAATTAGGAGGTACCTTTCCAACAATAACCTCAACAAAAGTATTATTAATCGTCATTTTCTTTTTTCATTTTCAACATCACAGATGCGTGATGATGTTTTGTCACAGCAGAAGCGACATTCAATGAATGAATTACGTTTTCAACACACATCCGTTCATCGACAACAGTCATTGGAACCAAATTCTTTGCAAGTGTTGATAGATCATAACAAGGAAACGTTAATGAAAGGTCAGACACGATCCGATATGAATAATCGCGCATTAGATTCTAATCATGAAATCTTTGAAAAATCTAATTTTATTGCTAATGAATCACTTGATTTATCAAATAACAAAGAAATTTCAGGTGAAACGAATTTGATAGAGGAGAATAATCTAGGAAAGAATACATTGGATCAAAATCAACAAGTTTTAGAAAAGTCGATATCCTTTGCCAACGATGAAACATCGGCAATCATAAGTTCTTTAGATCATAACAAGGACATAAAATCATCTAACGAATTCGCCGAAAAAATCGATAATGATGAAGGTTCATCATATCGTCCATTTATTCCAACCGAGGGAAGAGATATTAATGATATATGGAGTGATTACAACAACCTCACTCAAGAACAATTTAAAACTATGACAATAAAAGATTTTCAATCACATCATTACCTTCTAACTTTGATGCTGAACCAAGAAGTCGGATTACCTCTTTCTTATTAAAAGCTATTTTATCCTTCTTACCACTTGTCTCGTTATTCATTTCTGATAATAGATCAAATGCTTGTTTCGTTTTCCCTTGATTCAGTAAAGAATCGATCATAAAAGTGTAAACTTGTGAATCAGGAGCTACATTGTCGTTCTTCATCCTATTAAATAATTCCATGGCGAATTCGATTTCATTTTTCTGAAGATAAGCCCCCATAATTATAGTATACGTTGCTAGATTTGGAGTCACTTTGTTTTCTCTCATAAGATTGAAAATCTCGAATGCATCATGATATTCGGATTTTTTCACACATCCACGCAACAGTGTATTATATCTAAACATTTTCCACTTTGCTCTCCCGATTTTTGAATGGCCTCACTTCCAGTGATTCCAAATGAATCAAGAATCAAGATACTAGGGTTGATTCCTTCATTTTTCATATCATCAAGAAATTTCTTTGCATATTCCTTCTCTCCGCGTAAATTCATCCCTTTGATGAGGTAATTATACGTAACTATCGTAGGTTTGATCCCTTGTTTCTTCATTACGTCATAAATTCCAATTAATTTGCTCCTATCGGCGTTATTCATCAATACCCTTAGTAGTGCATTGTAATTGTAAACGTCTGGCTTGATCCCTTCCTTTAACATTTTTTCATGATAAGACAAGGCATCCATGAAGCGAGAATCTCTAGCACACGCGGAAAGTAACATTGAATAAGTGATATTGCTTCTTTCAATTCCTAAATCAACCATTTCATTATATAATTTAAATGCATCTGGACGATGACCTAATTTAATAGTTCCCGAGATCATTATGTTATAAGATACTGTATTCGGTTTGATCTCTTGTCTCTTCATGATTTTGAATAAATTTTGTAATTTTGACAAATCTTGCAAATTCAAAGCCGTGGACATTAATATGTTGTATGTGGAAACATCCGGTTTTAACTTTGCCTTCATTTCAAGATCACTAAATATTGACAACATCTTGCCATGAACTAATAATTTGTCGTGAACGTCCGAATATATCAAGAATTTTTTGACTGATCCAAGAATGTTATTAAA